CCCAGCTGACGACGGCATAGAAGACTGTCACAACCTTGACGTTATTCGTCAAGGGTAAATAATATGATGTTTACTGTGCATAGCACAAAGGCCAACGGTAATATTATATCGCCACTCCATAGGACCCAGTTCAGTCATTCGTCCCCTTCAGTAGTTTTGCGGAATAAGGATACCTTGTATGGCCAACCAAACAGGACATGGGAATAGGAACGCCCGTCCACTCAAAGTAGGTGGTTTTGTGGTAAATTTCAGAAAGGATAAATATTCCTGAGTCTCAACTCTAACTTAAATTGCAACCTTAATCTCAACCCCCACTGAATATAAATACTATTGCCGCTACTGCTTATAGTGTTGCTTACTAGCAGTGTAGCTGAGTGATAGTAGTGTTGGTACTATTACTGACACTAATAATTGGCCAGAAATGACGCTGATTAGAGTCAGCGCCGGGCTCGTGTTTCCTCGATCTCAACCAGAAGTAGGGACCTGGATTTATGCTACTCCGAGTAAAGTGGATGTTTGAGGCTCGGAGCACATCAATGCTTGTCCTGGTTTTTACCCCTTACCTCTATTCACCAAACTGTGTCAGTTTTTCCTAAAGCGTAGACTACGAGGGTTAAAGTACTGCTGCTAGAAGTAGTATGCCAACGTTCGGAAAGCTCATTCTGGTAACCATACTCGTTAAGGCCACGCTCGAGCTCGTGGCTCAATGGTTAGAGTGTAAGGCTTCTGGCCAAAAAGGTGTCGAGTTCGAGTCTCGGGTGGTGCACCACTTGGGGTCAGGTATGAATATCTGACGACGGCTAATATGCTACAAATAGCCATTCCAGTCTCCCTTATCCTTGCCGACAATACTATATAGTAATCAATCCACTGACCCCACCCACGCAATATCCATCTCCATCCGACCGAATGATACCACCCCCTCTAATTAGTCCCTCTGCCTGCTGGAGATTTATGGAAGAAAAGCGTACGTTAACCAAACCATCTCCTCGTAATGATAAGATCAGATGATGCCGGGTAAAAATGAGATCGAGCGCAGTGGATGACGTGACGAACGTCCTCCTCTACGATAATCATTCAACCGCCTGGGTGCAACTTCGTTCATTTACGTCTCAAACTTAAAAGTTACCGTAAGATAAACAAAAAGAAGGATCTAACACAACCCGACATTTGACCCAAGGAAGAAAGCTGTCGCATTAGCCGACGATAAAGTAACAACCATGGCTCAATGATAGAAACCTTATTATACCTCGAATAATCGAGTAAATGTAAACGTAGCGCTGTGATTTATGTCCACATAAACGAACTTCTCAGTGTAGATCAAAAGACACAGCTACTAGAGTCCTAGTTGCTGCATATTTTTGTAAGTAAGGAGAGTACGCATTCAGTGGACGTTAACGGGCAAACAGAGAGGGCCCGGCGGGGCGGGGGAAGGTTGATCAACAGCAATTAAACTCACCCACAGGCTTCGAGGCGGAACTGACGACACGTATACAACTCGCCGGGAACCAGCCTACTTGCCTGTCCTGTCCCCGTTGCTGAAAGAAGACAAATTTCAGAAAAGGTCCCGTGAGTTGGAACAAGTAGCCTTGGGGGCCTGATTGGACAGTTTTAAGGCGCGTAAAAAATCCAAAGCTGGAAGGTACTACAAAGAAGGTGGAGTGCACACAGCCATGGTTGATATGGTTCCTTCTCTTCAGTATTACACTAAACTGTTTGAATAGAGGCAATGTCCATTTGTTAGGAGAGAGAGAAGAGAGTACCTGATCGGATGGCCCATAAACGTCAAGGAATACACAGAAGGCTTTTATTTTTAAGAGACTACGCACTGAATGGGGAGGCCGAAGGAAAACTATCAATGATAGGGCAGAGAAATTAACTGACAGGGGGGAGAAACTCGAATAAGCAGAAGATTTGTGGGGGAGGAGGGCATTGAGTTACAAGCTGCAGAGTTATTGGGCCTGCAAGAGGTGTAAAACCTCTCTCTGTTGAAAGTAACAACTTGATATAAAGAGTAAATATCAAAGAAGGCAACATAGGTTTTACGAAGAAAGTTGGGTAATGGAAAGTTTAATGCATTTTAATGGAAAAAAATCAATGTAGGAAGGACAGAAACTTATGAAATGGAGCATAGCTGATTCGAATATAATCTAGCTGCACATGCACAGTCAGAGGAGAATCAAACTACACAACTAGAAGACGAAGCGATTTAAAATTATTAATTATCAAGAGAAGCGCGTAACCGGCAGGAAGAGGAAGGGGGGGAGGGGAAGGTTAGGAGTCCTGAAACACAAAGGAGGAGCAGACATGACTTGAAAAATACCTATATATATCTATTTAAGAAAAATGAACGTGTTGGCGCACTACACCGGGAAAGAAAACTGAGTACGATCCAATCGAAGTACTCCGTAAATCGGAATTTCAAGTAAGAATGGTTTAAGAGCCCGGCCCACTCTTAGATGCTCGAATCATGAACGCGCATTCGGGACGCACGGTGATACCACCGCACCCATTACAGCAACAACAACCTGCGGTTTATTAAAAATTTCCTCAGGAATTAATTTCGAACTTTGAGTAGATCATTACATTCAAGGGTCCACGGGCGCACACCACAATTCCACGTTAATTTTTGGGCGTAAGCAACAGGGATACTGGGAGACCCACTGACGAGCCCAACCCCTCGCAGCTGTGCTACGCAGAGGCACAATATGGACGAAGCACGCGTGTCTGCTTTAGCTAGTACTCGCGCTGCTGGTATGGAAAATAATAACAAATAACAAAATAATAACAAAGACAAGAAAAAAACACGGGTGTCACGACTGCAATTGCCGGCAAAGCCAATTAACATCATCGTATTTCATCTACGACTTTTACAGGTTCGGATTGGAGATACCCGATCACAGCCCCTCTCACTTGCCGCACCTATCACAACAGAATTCGCGTCACCCTAACCCCCCCACCCACGTTCGATGTAACCTCTGCCCCAAACCATCTAATGACCCAATCCCAGCCCTCACTTTTCATTTAGTCTGACGACGGGCAAGTGTTGCCTGCTTGAAAATTCACGAGCACAATTCGATTTTCGGATGACTTTCTTCCTTTTCATTATACCCGATCATATCTGAAACCAATTCAGTCAGCGCAGGTCATAACATTTTAACATTAGAAGCTACATCAGCTCAGCCTACAGAACCGGAAATCACAACGAGCAGATTACAGAGGACAACCAGTCACGTGGTTGCCAAAGGCTTCACCGCCGGGTATAATAAATAGAAGTCCGATGTCCTGCATACGAAGGCTAGGTTCATGCTTGTTGCCTTTATGTACTTATATCGTTTTGCTGTCAATAACTCAGCCAAGGGAACAGCAGTAGCAGCAAATTTCACCAGCCACACGCAGTGACAACTTCAGATCAAACGATAAACAGTTCAATAAAACTCGGGAAATTAATGCGTGCGCATCAAATTTCGTCTTTGGAGCAAAATGTTTTGGTTCGCCTCCAAAAGGTAATATGAATATTTTTAAGTTGTAGTTCCTCCACAATTGAAGAAAAACGGCATAATACTTATAAGCTGCCAACAGGTAGCGGCAATATACAAATACTAAGTGAATAACCTCAGCGACAGCAAAATCTAGTAGCTTAGAGTCCAGACATGCGTGCTTTGTCGATCTCGAGTCGCTGCATGACACAACTGCTAGGGGTTCGCGACTCATCAATGTTCCACGTGTGATTTATGGTATACAAACGCCACGTTTCATAGCGGCTTTTAAACTTCACCAAAACTAAAGCAGAAACATACACCTGCACAAATGAGTTATGGAAATGACGTCCGGTGATAGCAACGAGAAAACTACTTGCCAAATATATCCGTCGGCATGCACAGAGCAAAGATAAAACACCTGAACAGAGCATACACCTAAATATCCCCGACAGGACGGCAGGCCTATGCTTCAATGATCGGGTTCAAATTCCAGGTACTTCAAACCTGCGGTTGCGTATGGCTGCCTGATGACGGCAAATAAGTCACTCCGGTCTCTTTCGTCTTTGGTGGTACACGCTTCAGCACATATCCCTGGTGGCCATACTCCACAAAAGTCAAGTGTTTCACTCAAAACACTTCAAACCTAAGCAGTAGTACACCTTTGAAGAACAGCAGAGTAGATGTCGGTCTATCAATAGCGTTTCTTTCTTGGTAAAATGCGAAGTTCTTGTTTGAGACAAAGTACTGTGGGGAAGCAATATGTTTTTAGGGTGCAGTGGACGTTTTGAAAAAAAAATCGTGCAGGATAAATCTAAAGTGAGAATGCACAGTGAAAAGGATTGGCACGATGAAGCAAAACAAACTGGTTAAGTTGGAAGACGGTAGGTTGCAGGGCGGGCGGAAGGGAGGAGCCGAGGTCATAAAGTCACTCTGAGTTATCAAAATATAGCACGTTTGAACCACCTATGATATGAAACTAAATAAAAGTCATTTTGGGATTCACCTGACAATCCACAGAAAAAACC